GGAGCCCCGATCGTAGCGTCCTTGCTCCTAGTAGCGATGCCAAGAGCTTCTAGTAGCGAACCTTGTTCCTAGTAGTACGGCCAGGAGCCCCGATCGTAGCGTCCTTGCTCCTAGTAGCGATGCCAAGAGCCCCTAGTCCCCTAGTAGCGAACCTTGTTCCTAGTAGTACGGCCAGGAGCCCCGATCGTAGTGTCCTTGCTCCTAGTAGCGATGCCAAGAGCCCTTAGTCCCCTAGTAGCGAACCTTGTTCCTAGTAGTACGGCCAGGAGCCCCGATCGTAGCGTCCTTGCTCCTAGTAGCGATGCCAAGAGCTTCTAGTAGCGAACCTTGTTCCTAGTAGTACGGCCAGGAGCCCCGATCGTAGCGTCCTTGCTCCTAGTAGCGATGCCAAGAGCCCCTAGTAGCGAACCTTGTTCCTATAGTAGTACGGCCAGGAGCCATGATCGTAGCGTCCTTGCTCCTAGTAGCGATGCCAAGAGCCCCTAGTAGGGAACCTTGTTCCTAGTAGTACGGCCAAGAGCCCCGATCGTAGCGTCATATTGCATTATATTGCTACATAGTGCCCATGCTCTTGCTTTCGATGTGCGGATGCGCCGAGGTAAAACCTTCATCGCCGAGTGCTAAGGAGTGCGTCCGGTCGCGTGGATGGTCGGCCGTGGTGTGCAGCCATCAACTCCAGCAGATCGATACAAAAAGGGAGTGTGGTGACCACAGTGCAGCGTCACACGGTACTTTTCGTTTATCTTTAGTTCGTCAGACATCGTATCGTCATGATACTGACAAAATAATCAGAGAAGGCCTCCACACCACTCGAGCAGGTTTCACAGAAGAGTTTTTTTCGCAAACGACGCCTGCGCGCCACAGGAGATGGAGATTAGACCTCCAGAATCTCAGGAGAAGCATGGGAAGCTCAGACCGGAAGCGAACCTCCTAGAAGCTACTAGTAGCAAAGGGCATTTCTACGAACGGAGCAAGAAGCTGCTAGGGGCGCTGGCCTTACTAGTAACAAGAAGCTTTTTAGGTCTTTGAAGCTTCTTAGTAACAATCTTCGTGCCAGCTTTGTGAAGCTGTCTGGAAGGGAACGTGCGCTGCTGGAACGGACGGAAGGTGCAGACATCACAACTGTCACAGACGGAACATGCTGAGAGCCCCTCCACAAAAGTAACTGTGATGGGAGTTGCTGGCAGAAGCAACCAAAGAACTTGGTGCATGCCCCTAAAATACTGCTTTTGGAGACCAAAAGCCACCAAACCGAACCAGCTCACACCTGTTTCACACCATATCCAGATCCCTTCGAAATCCGAAGGAAAACACCGAGGCCCTGCAACAGCTGGAGACTACGGCAGCATCGGAGGGCGCGGCCATGAGACGCGAGGCGTCTACGCCGCTCGCCGCGAGGCGAGACGTGTACTCACGTCTCCGCCTGCAATATCCAATGGGATGCATTTCAGATGAAAGAAAACCACCAAAAAACACAATATTCTTTTGAATTATATACTAATAGCAATGGCCTCCAACCTAGAATGGCCTCCAAAGCTAAGAGCGATGGGATGCATTTCAGATTGGAACACTGTTCAGTGACGGTGTGGCATTTATTTGGACCAACAGATTTATTTCAGCATACAAGATGTTCAGACAGAAAAGGCCGCACTTGCCTTTTTGCTTTTTGCTTACAACTTTCTTGGTCCAAATTGGCAGTTGCACAAGTGCATAGCTCCCTTATATATCTCCATGCTCGAGAATTCTGAGCGGGGGAGTAGGATTGGATCATTCCGTCTGAGACCGCGGCTCAACGGAGATGAAGAGCCAGTCAACGAAGATTGTGATGCGAACTGTCATCTCATGTTGTGGATACTTGAGGATAGATGTAGTAAGGCCAGTTTCGCCCCGATCGTAGCGTCCGATCGCTCCGATCGTAGCGATGCCGTTGTGCCTTGGCTTCTTCACAGAGTCATTTCAATAGATTTAAGAAGACGAGAACGCCGCCACTGCCTCCAGTTCTTCACGTCGAGCGCAGTCTACGGAGCCGAGAGATGCCGAGAGGTCACGGTGATGGACGAAATGACCCACTGATGACGGGCATCATTCCAAAGTGCCTCCTGATGCATAGCATTATTGTTACTAGTAGTAAGGCACTTGTTACTAGAAGCGATGCACTTGTTTCTAGTAGCTTCTTGTTTGTCATTTGCAAGGAGTTTGTGTTTGGATGGTGTGCTCGCAAATTGCAGCAGCTTTCACATTGGCTTCCGTGTGTCCGTTTTTCTCCTTTGCGGGCACCTTGAGTTTTCAAGCCAGCTCTTTCCGGCCCTTGTTGCCAGCAGCAGAGCTTTCTCATGCAGAGAGTGTGGAGTGGTGGTCCAGAGGCTATTGATGGTTTTGCTGAACAAGATCAACAATTTTTTTAATCAGCACCAGACCCTATTTTGCATTGTTTCTTGGTTGTGACTCGAGAGTTGTTTGTTCCTTGAGCCTAGCTTTCCGCTGGCTACTTGTATGAGCCAGCCTCCTCTTTGTTTTTCATGCCGATTGAAGGTGTTCAAACATGGGCAGAATCTGATCTAGCGATGGCCTCCAACCTAGTAGCGATGGCCTCCAACCTAAAGCGATGGCCTCCAACCCAGTAGCGATGGCCTCCAAAAAAGTGATGTCCTGCAACCGAATAGCGGCGCACATTTTTGCCAACTGCGTGTGAACGGCGCACACTTGCCATTCGTGGCCTCCTTTGAATCACATCTCCAGCAAGCTTGCTGTTCTCTTATGCCTGGAACATTTGCGATTGATGTGCAAGTGTTGAAAGAAGGCTGCGCCTTGAGAAAGAAGGAAAGACCGAAGACCGATCATACTTTTCCAGACATATTTGGTATAGTTGCCACACCTGCACGCCACCAGTGAGACACTAGAAATGGCTTGCCCTGAGAGAGCAAACCTAAGGAAGAGGCTTAAAGGAAAGAAAAAGGTTCTAAGAGCGATGGCCTCCACACTAGTAGCGATGGCCTCCAAGGTACTTGAAGCCTGGCCGAAGAGTTTTGGACAAAATCAAGGCTGACAAAATGGCCTTGCTACTAGGAGCTACCAGGAGCAAGAATGCTACTAGAGGCTCCTGGCATCGCTACTAGGAGCATTCTTACTAGTAACGAGAAACTACTATTGTTCATTTAAGCACTGCCAGACGAGACAACCCACATGAGATGACCCGAACGGCTGCTCTGACCTACGAAACGCGACGCCACGGGCCGATGCACTTGCTCGTATGGCTCAGCACGGGAGTGTTCCAACCGGCACCTACGGTGGGGAGACCTAGTAGTAGAGTCCTTGCTCCTAGTAGCGATGCCCTTTGCTCCTTAGTAGCTTCTTGCTCCTAGTAGTAAGGCCAGGAGCCCCTAGTAGCG